TTTTCTTCAGATCGCATATGTGGCCAGCAACCTGTACCGATACAAGCATTTCATGTACAGCCAATAGGTATACTTCATAATGTGATTATAGTAACAGATCAAACGGTGAACATCAAGGACTACATGGTCTGGTCCATTTTAAATCTCCTTATTGGTGGTATTTTATTTGGCTTAGTTGGAATTTTGCTTTCTAATCAAGTTCGTGACAGAAAGAGAAATGGCGATATTGACGGTGCGAGAAGTTTATCAAAATGGACAGCTGTATGGAATATATTTAGTACCTTAGTTGGAATTGGGATTACCACTGGGATAATAATTTACATAAGCAATACCTACAACGAACACTAGTCTTATAAATTCATTTTATTGACTCGAGAAATTACGTTCATTGTACTGTGCTATTTTGTCTTCAAAAAGCAATTTTTTATTTATATCTATCGCTTTAAATATCTTAGGTAGATTAAAGATTGACTAACAAAGTATACAAGAGAAATGAAACTTCGATTAGATATTAAAAGGTTATCGAAAATAAAGTGGTTGTAAGAAGCTGCAAGTTTTTAGACCGATTTCTATGATCTTTTATGCTCTCAATTAATTCTATTACAGATTACAGGAAAAGAAAAGCAAGAATAAAATTGTTAAGCAACGTTGTCTGTTTGTTTTATAGGCTCGTATGAAATAAAGAACATTAAATATTAAGAAAATATTCATGGATTGTATATATACCTACGAAGCCACATGTTAAATGAACAGTAGGTAAAAGAGAAACGAATAGATTGAGATGATGGTACAAAACTAGAGCTATTGTCATGGTGATATGTGTTGTGCAAAGTATGCCTAACATGTGAAATATTACAATAAATATGATATTTGATTCTATCCTTCACTCGTTTTTTCTCTATAGATCAAAGTTAAATATAGATGTTCATTGAGATTAAGCTTTTGATATGCTGTCATTCTCACCATAAAATTCTTGTTCTTGTGATCATATTTGATTTTTCTTTCGAAGACTTTTGTTCTTAATTCTTCATTTTCTTTTTCTTCTCGTCATTCATGTAAGAATAGTTAGCAGCCGATTCGAGTAATTTCCATGAAAATTCGCCTGAGCAACTAAGCCACAAAAGAAAACTAGTAAGCCACCTACAACTTGATGAACTCTATCTAATAGTATGATCAGATCTCCCGAAATATTCACGTGATTGCCCAAAAAAATCCATAAGATCCATAAGGATAAATTAACATTTTGGTAAAAATCATGACGATTCGCCTGAATATATAAGCCACTCGTGAATCATAGCTCAATCGATGCAAAATTTCACACTCTATCTCGTGCTGTATGATTCAACTTGATCAAAGTCTTTTATAAGCCAATCGGTTCCTTGAAAACCTCAAAAATTAAATTTTCGAAAGTATTACTTGTGACGATTCACTCAGAAGCTTAAGCTACCATTACATACTACATGATGTAAACAATAAATTATGATTCTTTATCAACTTCAAAATATTATCGAGTATCAACAAACAATTATTCAGTTTTATCCCAGATTGTAATCCTCATGACGATTCGTTTTGGGTACATAACCTACTGACGAGTCATATACCATTCGATGCATAATACGATGTTCTATCGAATGGTGTAAAGCTCGCAAGTCTGAACATCAGTCAGATGATGTTTTGACGTATGAAAATGTTCAAACCCAGAAAAAGTTGCAACTTTTTCTCACTACTCCTCCTGACGATTCATCCAAATGCTTAAGCAAGTGATGTAGGATACATTGATCCATGCAGAATTCTACGATCCATCGAATGGTGCACAACTAGAACGGATGAATAACAATTATAGTGGAGTTTGACTGAGAAAGATGTAGAAAACATCCGAAGAAAAAAGAATTTCTGATGTATGATGATTATGACAATTCGTGCTAGTACCTAAACCACTACGAATTTATATATCATTAGACGCAGAGTTTCATGCACTATCGGTTTTTGTGTAGGCTAACAGGCTTAATGCCCGTTAGAAACAGCTTGACCTGCGAATGGTTCGAAACCCCTAGAAAACAACGAAATCTCTGGTAGGCATTTTTCTTGACTATTTTATGGTGAAGCTAAGCTATCGACGAGAGACATACCAATGAATGACAAGCTAGGAAAATTAGGAAGTTGTAGGTGACCCATGGGCGTAGAAATAGTCTATAGAGAGGGCATGTTGTATAAATTGAAAAGCATTTGTATATGAAACGGTGAAATTTGTGAAGAGTAACCTGAAAATTTTCATTACTGATATGTATTATATCAGTTGATTCGAAACCCGAAGTTCTTTTAACTAGTGTTTATATGATATTTTATGAGTAAATTTTAGTTGAATGCTGATATATATTATTTTGTTTTCTGTAAGCTTTCAGTGGTCGGTGTGTCAATATTGATTGTGAGAAAATTAGTTTGCGTTTCTTCAGTAAGGTAGAGTCAAGGTAATTGATGAAGTTTATTATATCTGAGTGTCGATAATTTTTCAAAATGAACGTATAACGTTTTTTTGGTCTAGCTATCTCTCATAAGATAATCATTTGCCATATAATGACACATGAAGACGATATATGAAGATAATGACAACATGAAATTAATAAATTTTCGAACTCATTGAAACAAAATCTTCTTCAATTTACGCTAAAACCTTTAGTAATGTTAAGTAGGTGTGTGGAAAGATGTTTCAAAATCAAAAAGCACTTCATCGTCACATATCACAACAATTAAATGTTATGAATCAAAATTTTAAAATTGGTTATATATTGTAACATGTTCTTAAGTTTTGAATAAATGTCTACTCAAACAAAATGGTTGTGTCTTAGTTATAATGTTAAGCTTTTAATCGAAAACATTAGGGAAAGTATTGGCGTATTTAGAATATCTACAATATATACAAGTAAATGTGCCAATAAAGACGATTTTATCACTGTTCTACAGTGAAAAATTGTGAAAAAACTTAGCAACGATCAAATCTTCATGTAACTCTCGAAAGATCACGCATTAATCTTAAAGGTTTCTCGACCTTTCATCGAGAATAGTTGATGTTTCTACTCATACAAGAACAAAAGATAGTGAGACGAAATGAAGTTAGTTCAAGATAAAATGTATAAGATAATGTATCATCAAATTGTACTGATAAAAATGTAACCAGAGGGTCGATGTCTCTTCTAGGAATAAACACTGAATATATTTTCTAATATCGATACAACTGAGTTCAATTGTTGATCTGTCACTAAACAAACCATGACCTTTCACTGTGTCAAATGTTCTCACAGTTACCTGTGATACGTATGCACTGAACAAAGTCTTCTGATATTCCTCCTGATTTTTAAGAAAATTCTGATAAACTGCTTTGTATTTTTGCGATAAATCCCTGACATCGAAAACTTGTATTTGTCAATCCTAGAATACATTATATAAAGAACATTGAATAGGAATATTTAAATATTTATGGTTCAAATATATATGAACAGGATAGTGAGAATATTGAAAGAAGTTAATTGTAAGAATGGATTTTCTTGAATTCGAATGTATTGATCAGCAAAGAACATATTTTCGATAAAATCTTTCCCTCATACAGATAAATTTATTTTAATCATTATCTTGGTAAACTAGACAATTTTATATTAAGAAAACAAATTCGATTAATATAATGTATTTTGAATATTTAAATCACTTATATTCGAAATCATTGATGAAAACAATCAAGTCTAATTTATAAATTCTAATCGGTCGAAATCAATCTATTATTATTAGACTATTTAAAAGAATTTTTAATATTTTAGAAAATTTTTTCATAATATTTCAATAGGATTTATTCAAATTAATGTAGTTCGTTTGCGAATTTGCCTCTACATAGAATAATCGTCAATATATTGTCATAGATTTTTTTATTGACAACCGATGAATAATTGTAACCCTTGATGTGTCACTCTTTGTTTATTAATTTTACTTTGCTTTACTTTTTTTCTATTAGGTTTGCCTTTCTTTGATTATCTAAATTTGAATTGAAGTTAAATTCAAAGATAAATATTCTCTTCTATTAATAAATATATTGAGAAATTCGAGAAAAGATAGATTCATCTAAATATATATTGATTCGAACAAAAACTAAATATTCTTTCTATTTTAACTGTTATTATACGACATATCAATGATTTTCACTAGAATAAATATAAAACAAACTGCTATTCGATTTTATTCGATTTACTTTAGATAATTTCGAAAAACAATTCATATTTTCATATGTTTGGACGATATATTTTGTAGATGTTTCTATTCATAATGATGAAATAGTAATCTGTCTTATGATTATCTTTCTCAAAATATATTTCTTTATGTATATTTCTGACAACATTTTCACATATTAAATATTTAAACAATTATATAGATAATTCGACTTGAATGTACGACTTTCAATTTACTTGACAAAAGTAAAAAGTAAGAGTTAGCTTTGTTAGAAATTCATAAATGATCATTCATCACTAATTAACAATTATTCAAAACATATTCATATGATATTTCTACTTCCATAGACAAATACTTGATCTGATTAATTAAGAAACTGAAAAAGAAAACAAACAAATGTTAATTTGAAGCAGTTTTTACTAAAGATTTATATATTCTTTAATTGATTTATAGACATAAGTATAAAATTTAGAAAAACAAAACAGATTAATTCAATCCATTTGATTAGGAAATATTTCAAGGTCGATTTACAAATCATATTCACCAATATTAATGTCAGGGGTTATAAATGCATTAAAGGGAAATTATCTAGTAAGAAACCCCAGAAAAACAGATGATTGCTGCATGTATTAGCTTTCATATTTGATACAGTCATGCATCATTGCTTCTCTTTTTGTGTATGTGGGTTTTTGAAAAACAAAAGAGCAAAAGACAAATGATGTTCTATAAAAGGATTGATTAGAATCATTTCTTTATTGCATTTATCTACTTTTTACTACACATCGATTATGTGGGGAAATAATCCAAATAACTATGGTGGTGGTGGTGGTGGTGATATGCAAGAACGTTTAACGGATAATTTAATTCAAAATTTTGTTCCCGGAGGACTAAACAGTAAAGAATTTTTATTAAATTAACTCTTTTTCGGATAACTCGACTTGTTGTTGATAGAAGAGTACTCAATATAATTGATTATTACTTAAATTTAGGTCCACTTGGTGAAACAATCGATAACATGATAGGTGGCAATCAAAATCCAACATCTGGTCAAATTCACGGAGGTGCTCCTGGTGTTGGAGGTTTTGACAATATGGGTGGTGGATATCATCATCAAGGTGGATTTTAAATATTCATCAACGAAACAAATCAATTATATCGAAACAAACTATATAAATCATTTTTCTATTTTTTTTAAATATTTATTCTTTTATAATATGAACAATAAACAAGCAGTGACATATGATTATTGAAATATGTTTTTGACACAACAACTATTATGATCATTGATTTGATAGGTTTCAATCTGTTTTCAATGTGATAAACTGTTTTTTAGATACGAAATTATAAAATTCTGTTATCGTTTATATTAATTTCGTACAACTGTAAATGACTTGATAACTTATTCAACTTTTCTTTCATTCTTAATAATAGAAATGAAATCAATTCATCATTTTTTAAAAATAAACCGAACTGAGATCAGTTCAAAACTCCGAAAACTTAATATTAGTTCATAAATATATTATTCTTAAATAACCTCAACGAAAGAAACTTTTCTATATAATGATATAATAAATGAATCATACATAGTAGGAATTATATTTACTGTGCTTTTAAAATAATTAAAAATGATTTTAAACTTTGATATCGATCTTGTTATGTCTTTATTCCAATTTTAATTTATTTCTATAAAAATGTCTAATTATTTATATTTCATAGGAGTAAACAAATAATTAAGTATAATATGATAAGGAGAAGATGTTTTTCTCTTTTTAAGACTAATGTTGAATTGTCTGAAACAAACTGATCAATTGAAAGAATTTATTCTTAGGGATTATTCTCAAGAACATCAAAACAATCGATAACATTTATATGAATTACTATTTTGATCATTTCAAAAAAGAATGAAAGGTAAAATGAATAAAATAACTATTTAATCAAACAATTCCGAAAGTTTTCTGTTTGCATGAAGAACAATTCTGAATTGAGAAGATAAATTTGACAATAGAGTCAAATGATAACAAAATTCTTTCGTCAAACCATAGAAAATGTTTTCTTCATAAATAAAGATAGATTTTCATCTTTTCATAAACACAATCATTGTCGTGACTTTTTTTTTGTTTTTTGTTTTATAAATATATTATATGGAGCATAGCGAAGGTTAATTGACATATTCGTCTTAATAGTATAACGAAAATTTGAATAATATATAGTTATGGTGACAGAAAAACAAAATCATTGATGCATCTATTCAAACATAGAAATAAAAATATATATTATTCGACAAGTAAGTGACATATTCCCTCTTTCACTTCATCGAAATATTGACTTAATTGAGTAGTAATCTATGAAAGAGTAATCCCCACGACAAATATATCACATATATTATCAACCTTTTTCTATCAGTTATAAACAAACAAGAAAGAAAACAAATGGGTAAGTGTTTATTGAAAAAGTTCTATATATATATACTATTTATCATATATATGAGAGGTTGACTTGATTATGTTTGATTTCCTCATCAGATTTCTTTAACAATCGTACGGAAAAAACTACCAATATGGATCTAAATGGTGATGGATATATTGGAGGACAAGGTTAGCATTTCTTCAAGTTTTTTTTTGTTGTTGTTGTTGACTCTATCTGATATTATTATTCACTTGTTTATCCAGGTATAGAAAGTAAAATCGAAAGAGCAAGCCATGTTGACTTTAATGGTGATGGGATGATCGGTCGTCCCCTTGACACTATTCCTGGTGGTGGTTTTCCTTCTCAAAATTATGGTGGTGATTTCAGTGGTTATCCTCCTATGTAGTAGAGTGACTTCGGTTCTTATTGATATTTATTATTTCAAGTGAACATTTTTTTTTTCTAGTAAACTAAGCTGTAGTGACAAAGATATTCATAAAATCATTTATAATCAATATTACTTATTGTTGTGTTTTTGTTTTTGTATTCTTACATATGTTTATCATGTTCCATTGTTTACTAATCTATTGACTCTCTCTTGTTTTACATAAATATCTATCAAAATAAAATAAACAAGCGCCACAATTAGTTTTAATATTGATTCTTTCATTTTGATCATGTGCAGAATAAAGCGAGACAAAACCAAGTTATTGATAATTAGCCCCATTTTTCAATAATTCAAACGCATAAAAATAAATTGTGTCGTTGACAATGACGTCGGAGACTAGTAAAAAAACCAGAATGGTATGATAGACGTGTTATTAAAATGATCATGTGTTAAGCATTAAATAAAGTTAAAAGTATTATCGAACAAAAAGCTAGTCTTGATTATCTTAACAAGTTTAATATATAAATAATTGATGATGAAAATGACTGGAAATATTTACTTTATAAAGTATTCAATTAAAACATGGAAATGTAACCGACCATAGAACAATTGTTCAAATTCACTTTTTTAAACAATTGATCGACTTTTCAGGCATTAAATGTTCACAAGCCGCTGAAATTTATTGAATTAGGAAAAAAAAACCAGCTATCGTTCACCGAAATTCGTTAATTATCTGTATTTGATGATTTTATTTTGTCTGTAAGAAATAGATAATATAAAGTAATATTTAAACAGAATTATTACAATTAAATATGAAAATTTTCAATAAAATACTGATGATAATGATTATTGATTCTTCACCGTTAATAATTGAATAATAAAGGTGATAAAATGTAAAACAAATATATTTTATTTTGTGTATTTTTTTTCGTTGATTATTCTAAGATCTATAAATTGATATTGAAGAAGATTTTATAATTATCTATCAGAGAAGAATTGCTGAAAAAAATAATACATTTTAATGGAGTATTAACTATAGTTTAGAGTCATTTCTCTTTAATTAATAAGAGTAAAATGATCGATTATCTTATGAAAAAAACAATCCATATAAACGAAATAATAATAGATCTTAAAATATCGAAATTCGTCATTTATGTTGAATAACTTATTATTTCATAATTCTATAGATTAGATCTAATTTTTTTTGTTTTTTAATCCTATTATTTATCTATTGGTATATATTAATTATATTGTTTAATAATCAATGATGACAATTTTTGAATTATTTTAAAAAACATATGATTATCTTAAATATGTTCACTTTTATTTTTCATGACCTTTCAATTAATTGAATTTGTAATATTAGATCATTTATATTTTAGTTTATTATTGAATTTTCTGATAAATTTCGACTTTTTATTAAAAAGATGATCGTTTTCAAACAAAAATCATTTATTAAAAAAGATCTTATTAAGAGATTTTATGTTTTATACAATCACTTTTACTTTATATTTGATCAACAAATGAAAATTAATTGGAAAATACTATTTCTATAATGTTATTTGTTCATATCATATCATTTATCACTCAATAATCAACAGTTTATATAGAACAACAACTTCTAGAGTATTATTCAGATGGCATTGAGTTGTATAGAACTGTGCATATTTGTTGAACGTACAGTAATTAATAGTGACAATATTATTATAAAGACCTACTTAGGGCCATCGAAAAGTTCTGTCGTTATTATCTTATTTTCTAATAGAAAGCTTAAAAAAATTTTCTTTTTTTTATGAACAGATAGAACGTCTTTCGTTCTATGTTTCTATGTTATTTGATCATTATTCAACTAATATCATAATAATAAAATTTCGATAAGAACTGTTTTTATTGAAAACTAGCTAGTGGTATATTAGATCATAACGGGTGTGCCATTAAAAATGGGACACTTTTATATTTCATTTTATCATCACTTAATATGTTGTATTAAAAAACAAAATATATCATAAGATCACTTATTTTATAATTGCACTTTTTGTTTTCAAAATGGACAAAATTCTGAGCATGCAAATTTCGACGCTCCGCAAGCAAAATTTTTTTTTTGGTAAAAAACGGCTTCGTTTTTTCCTATCTCATCTTTTTATAATTGTTCTTTGTAAGTTATAGAGCTTTTCACGCTGCATCTTGTAGTGTATTTTGTTTTTTATAATAAAACATATTGGGTAATAAAAAGATGAGATAAGAAAAAACGAAGTCGTTTTTTACCAAAAAAAAATTTCGTTTGCGGAGCGTTGAAATTTGCATGCTCAGAGTTTTGTCCATTTTGAAAACAAAAAGTGCAACTATAAAATAAGTGATCTTATGTAATTTGTAGAGCTTTTCACGCTGCATCTTATGGTATATTTTGTTTTTTAATACAACGTATTAAGTGATAATAAAGTGAAATGCAAAAGTGCCCGACCCATTAATATCTAATGCCACCAGCTAGTTTTCAATAAAAACAGTTCTTATCGAAATTTTATTATTATGATATTAGTTGAATAATGATCAAATAACATAGAACGAAAGACGCTCTATTTGTTCATAAAAAAAGAAAATTTTTTTAAGCTTTCTATAAGAAAATAAGATAATGACGACAGAACTTTTCGATTGCCCGAAGTATATTATTGATACTAGTACATTTCGTCGCACGACACTTCGTCGCGTTCACTTCGTCGCAATCATTTCGTCGCAGAACATTTTGTCGCGTTCTGTTTGTCGCAGAACAATTTTTATGGCTATGTCCAAATTGCGAACAAAAATTAAGCTAATTAAGAAAAAAGTGTTCGCAATTTGGAACACAGAAAATAACGTTGATCTTATTTTTATTGCGTTTCCAAATTGCGAACACTTTTTATAATTAAGTAATATAGTTTTAATTCTTTTTATTTGACAAGTCAATACGAATTTCTCATTTGAATATATAATAATAAATGAGAATAATGATGAACGAAAATAAAAAATAATATAATAATTTTTTTCCTGTTTTTAAATATTTTTATTATCTGTAAGAAAATACAATAATAATAAGGAAAAAAAATTATTATATTATTATTTATTTTCGTTCATCATTATTCTCATTTATCATTATATATTCAAATGGCAAATTTGTGTTGACTTATCAAATAAAAAGAAATGATACCATTTTTATTTTCAAACTTCTATATTTATATTATAAATGAAATTGAACTCATAATCAGCTATTGCAATAACTAATTAATCAAAGTGTTCGCAATTTCGAAACGCAATAAAAATAAGAGCAACGTTATTTTTGCGTTCCAAATTGCGAACACTTTTTTCTTAATTGACTTAATTTTTGTTCGCAATTTGGAGGCTACGATTTTTATTTCGTTCTGTTCGTTGCATCCTTCTCAATTAATTCTTTTTTTTTTAAATAACCAATTTCAATAGAATAAAATAAATAAAAAATTCTGAAAGATGTATACGATAACAATAAACGATTGACTATTCTAAGGTATATGACTTTAATTGGGGAAAACGGATCAATAATAAATATTAGTCAAAAGTGATCATGATAGAGCCAAAGTGAACGAAGAATAATTAGATTTGTCATACAGTTAGTGAGTTTCAACATAATCTAGACCAACGATAACACAGATCCAGTGTCTTTAATAATGGGATCCCAATAAAAAAACCATGCGTTGATGAGATTGAAAATATATTCCATTTCTCAATATCAATATTCACTACACACTATTCCTCAAAATAAACATCTCAAATGGAAAAACTTCTTTCTGTAAAAGTAAACAGTGCTCCTCTATGAAAGTTACCTTTACACTATAGAACTTTCAATAACGATATTTTCAATCTCATTAATGTATATTTTTATTTATCGTGGTCCTATAATTAAGAACATTTAATCAGTATTATTGTTGGTCTAGATTATGTTTAAATTTATTCACCGATTGACAAGTCTAATTATTCTTCGTTCACTTTAGTTCTATCATGATCGCTTTTGATTAATACTTTTTTATTGATCCGTTTTCCCCAATTAAAGTCATATGACTTAGAATAGTCAATCGTTTATCATTATCACATACATCTTTCAGAATTTTTTATTTATTTTATTCTATTGCAATTGGTTATTGCGAAAAAAAAAAGAATTAATTGAGAAGAATGCAACGAACAGAACGAAATAAATTATTCTGCGACGAACAGAACGCGACAAAATGTTCTACGACGAAGTGATCGGTCACCGTATTATTGATAGATATATCTGCATAACATATGATGATTGAGAAGAAAAAAAAGTTCAAATAAATAATAATAATGAGTCTCGAATAAATTCCTATGATAAATATCTATAAAATATATGTAATGTAATAATCTATTCCAATTGAAAAACTAATTAATGAACTATGATCTAAGATATATTTATATATGAATCAATCAATAAATGTCGTTGTCATTGAAGACGACCAAACAAAAGTACTGATAGAAGTAATGCTATATTGTAAACATTTATTGGTTGATTCGAATAGATTTATTGAATAAATAAAATAATATAAAGAGAGTTGAAACTATATTATCAATGTCATTAGATTCTTGCATATCAATAAAGATTATAATACCTTTATTGACATTACTCACCGAGAAATTATCTTTTAAATATATTAACAAAAAATTAAAATTTCTTCTTAAAAATCTAATATAAAATGACAATAAAATATTTTCATTGATTTAATCATTATTATTTCTATAGGTGATTTTTATTCTTTGAAATTTTTGTTAATTCAATGTTGAAATGATAATGATGACGTCGAAATTTCTACGTTGAAGATTTACGAACTATTTACGAAGTCAAATTGAATAGTTACTATTTTTATTTTATTTTATTATTAAAAACAACCAAATAGAATAATAAAAACAATTTATAGAACTAAATTTCAATGAGTTGATGATGAAATATGTTTCTCATTTTCTTTTATGTTCTTTTGTCTTTTACATATATATATGTATCATTGGCACAGTGATGTGGATAGAATCGGGCATTTTTCTATATTTATGTAACTATTCTCAACTTAACAGGAACATATGATTTTCTTTTTTTTTTCTTGTAAGAAAAAAATGCATCAGCCGACCAACATTTCTTTTTCCTCTGAGCCCCAATATAAAGGAAGAAAAGAAGGAGAAGAAACAAAAAAGAGAATCTATACCGATAAACAAGAGAATAAAATGAGTCAGCGAATATTTTTTTTCCTTTCTCCTTGGTTACGTTTTAGCCCTCTTGTTCGTTCTCGAAGAACAAGGCCATTCTTTCTGCGTAAAAAAGAGAAAGAGAAAAAAAGCCCCCACATCCCATTTGTTGGTGTCGTACTTATTTAACGTTGAAATATATTCTAAACAAAGAAAAATTCTTCTATATAAAACAAGTTAACAAGTGAAAAATGCTTCGTACATGTGCAAATGTATTAAGACAACGAAGATCACAAGTATTTATTTCAGTAAGATTAACAGGAACTGATCCATCACCTGGCTCTATAAATGCTGCTCATGGAAAATTTGCTGAACGTGAACAAGCATTCGAAAATGCTTATTTTAGAAAACAAACTGAAGAACTTTTGGCAAATTTACGAAAACGTCATAGCGACTTAGAAGTACAATCGGATAATATTGAAAAAGAACAAGAACAACTTGAAGCAGAAATTAAAAAATTAGAAAAACAAAGAGAAGAATTATTGAAAAAAACACACAAGACACAGAAAAATTGAAATTATCTTCACCATTGATTAAAACCCAATCCCAAATTAAAAAAAAACACTATTAATTTGTCTTTCCTATGTAAATCTATAGTCTCTTCTTTTTCTTTTTCGGTTTTTTTTTTATTTAGACTTTAAAAATAAAATAAGCGTTAATATTAATTATCAATTTATATCATCAAAAAACAACAAATTATATCAAAAATCGTTTTACATTAATATTAACTTTAATATAGATTCAAAATTGATTTAATCATACATATTATTTTAATATTCTGCCATCATCTATTCAACATTATCGAACATCTTTAATTATACTTTTCATATATAAACGATCAATAGAACATCTTAAAAAAACGTTTTACACGAAGAAAATTTTCCTTTCAATCTTAATGATCTATATATACAGATTAATTATCGTACTTTTTAATATATTTCTTAATTTAATAGTGTAAAATTTATTAATATGATCTATTAGGATTTAACATATGTAAAATATCAAACAAAATTTATTTTAATTTAAGGAAAAAATTGAATATTTTTGTCTTAGAATTTCGTTCAGTTGATCTTATTAAAACAAATTTCTTCTAATTTTCGCCAAAGTTTAATGATAAGATTTCATCGAAATTAATTTATAATCATTAAATTCGATTGAGAAATCCATATTCTATATCATTTATATATTTCGAACAAAATTCAATCTTAAGATGAGAAAAAAAATTATTTTAAAAAAAATACCTGTGAATAAATATAAGAAAAAAAATTCAAAACTGTTCATAATCAACATCAATGTTTAATTATGTTTGATAATTGATCATAGATTTCAACAAAGTCGAATATTATCAATATTAAAATGATATTATTTAACAGAGTTATTTATATCAATTAATACTTTTTTTTATTATCAATAAACATTCTATGCTTCGATCAATTATTAGTTTTTATTTTCCTAGAAAATATAAATAATAATCAGTTTTTGGCAATCAATTTAAAAATAAATATGACAATATTATTTTAGGCAGTGGCGGATCTTAGATTTTGCCAGAATGAGGGGAGCTACTTTTTTTTGAAGCAGTAACAAGTATAGGTCAGAGAGAATGGAATTATCTTTGTGTGCCTTCTATATGTTGGTTAGGGAAAGGTTAAATTACCTAGGAAGTTTTACGTGGCGTAATCACTTTGAAACTTCAATTGGTAAAAGTGCCGAACGGCTATATCCGCCACTGATCTTCGGACGTTTAAAATAATAAAAGAAAACAATTCTATCATAATTATGTTTCAAATGCATTCTTATTTATTTTTCATCATGTTTATATCATTAGTTTTTTATCAAAGAGAATAATTCTTATCGAAATACATGATAACGTTATAATACATAATCACACTTTTTTTAAATTGAATTTTTATTCAAAAAAAAAAAACTAATAGAAATGTATTTAATAAAAATAAATGCCATTTTTCATAGAAATGATTTTATTTTCCTCATGCAAAAATTCCAATAAATATGAAATGTAAAAATAATCTATTTATGTTCAGTATTTTAATTTCTACTACAGATAATAATAATAATAATTTGGATAAAATAAATTAAAAAGTTTCAAAGAGATATTTTAAATCTCCACAAATAGATTGAATCCATTTTTGCCAAGTATCATTACATATAATGCGTGGTGAGCCAGTCGTCTTATAAAATTGTGCTTCGATAAAATGAGGAAAACTTGCTACAACAATATGGATGCCTGATAATGAGTACCAAGTATAGATTATTTGGGTTGAAGTTTCGATATATATATATGTCATAGTCGTTGAATAATTTCAAAATGTTTGATATTGTTGAATATGAGTTTCATTAAAACTATGTCGTACAACTTGCGTAATTGTCATATTAAAAAAAATAGAGAACAATTGAAATCAAGATGTTCGACCTAGTTATTTGGTGACGATTTTCGAATAGAGGAAACAGCTGTAGAAACTATATGTAGACAACTTGCCGTTAGTGAGTCGGCTTCTAAAAGACTCTGGAACATTAGTATATTAAAATTGAAAAGCCAAATAGAATTTCTTATATACTAAAGAAAAATAAATACTTTTCTTACGAGTCTGACACGTTTATCATGATACAATGAAATAAAGTTTTATCTTTTAAAATATAACTTTTGATAAAGATTTGACAATATTGATAGAGCAGGATAGCTATGACAATATTATCGCAAGTAATGGATTTCAATTTTGGATAGTCCTGAAGACGATTTTTCGTTAGAATTGCTTTTTTTGATAAAAATATCTTTTAAGTCAAATACATAGTAACCAAAAAAAAAAACTTTCATGTCAAAAATTTGTATCGTTTTTCGCTTCGAAATCAATCAATATCTGGCTTGCAATTCTTTGAAGTTTTATTAGGAAAAAGCATATCATCCGGTTTATCATAGGTTTTAAGTTCGAAACATTAATGAATTTAAAACTTAGTCGAATTTCTTCGATGTAAAACTGGTACCAAGAGCAAGTTCAATGTCAGCCATTATTCTAATGATCATGATGAAATCCATTAGAGTTTGTTGCAAAGAGGTAGCTGATGTTCCAGTGAAAACCACCTGATTTGTATTGACGATGTATTCAGTGACTGTAGATTCCACTGGATTGATTTGTCAATGTAGGTTTGATTAAACAGTTTAATCAAACTTCGTGAACAATGTTCATCAATAAGTTATTTGTGTGCTTTGTACTCTCATATTTAGTTGTTAAACGAGATCTTCTGGCTTGTTAAAAAATACATCTGTTATTGAGCCTGTAGCATTTTTTAGTGTCTGAATCGTAAATAAATTTTGTGAACACTTTTATGAACTATTAAAATTGAAAAGTTCAGTCACCTTTTCGACATTCACGTAAAAATTTCGAGTTTCACGTTTGTGTTTAGTCTTGAATTTATCTTTCAATTCGCGTTCATTCTTTACTAGTAGAGCTAACTATGATAGAGTTCAATAAATTTTTCTGCTCTCTCTCTCTCTAGTTCTTCTTGTTACATAGACTTCCATTTAATTAGTAATTAAACTTCATAAAGACTATTTAAAATTGATTAAGGATCTTTAAAAACAGTCTGGAAGTATCAACAGATCAAGTCCAAAACCCTCATTACATTCATCTATCTTTTGTTCTTCTTAACAGTTGCTTTTTTTTCTACTGTCGATAAATAACGGGTGGCGCATAATAAATGTTCTACTTTTGCATTTCATTTTTGCACAACTTAATACGTTGTATTAAAAAAAACAAAATATACCATAAGATGCAGCGTGAAAAGCTCTACAATTTATACAAGAGAGCTTTTTTACAGTTGCACTTTTTGCGTTTAAAATGGACAAAATTTGGAGTGATCAAATTTTGACTGCGCGAAAACGATATTTTTTTTGGTAAAAGATGAATTCGTTTTTTCTCATTTCATCTTTTTATCGCCTGATATCTTCTATTTAAAAAGAAAACAAAACATACCATTAGATGCAACGTGAAAAGTTCTACAATTTACACAAGACAGCTTTTCTTATAGTTGTACCTTTTCTTTTCAAAACTGACAAAAATTCTCAGTGATTACATTTTGATGCTGTAAAAGAGGTATTTTTTAATACACGACCAAATCCATTTTTCCTTGTTGATCATCTGATGTGTTTTATTAAAAAGAAACGAAATACATCACAAGATGCAGCTTGAAAAGCTCTACAATTTACAGAAGACCACTTTTTTATAGTTGCACTTCTTGCTTCCAAAATCAGCTGAGTAATCAAATTTCTACCACGCGAAAACGATATTTTTTTTTCTATAAGATGAATTGGTTTTTTCTTATTTCAGCTTTTTATCAACTGATATCTTTTATTTTAAAAAAGAACAAAATATATCACGAGATGCAGTAAAAGAAGCTCTACATTTTACACGAGACAGATTATTGTAATTGTTTCGTAAAAAAGCAAAATTCTCTGCGATCAAATTTCGCACAGTCGAAATTTTATCGCTCTAAATTTTGACTACTTTGAAAGTAAAAAGTGTAATTATAGAAAAAGCGGCCGTATGTAAATTGTAGAGCTTTTCACGCTGCATCTTATGGTATATTTTGTTTTTTTTAATACAACGTATTAAGTTGTGGAAAAATGAAATGCAAAAGTGGGACATTCATTATGCGCCACCCGTTAATTACTTTCTATCTTTCCTTTAATAACATACTTTTCTCTTACTTTTTATCATTTAAAAGGAACACTAACATAGAAACGAAACATCATGAGAGAAATAAAAAGTGATAGATTTTTGTAAGCCGCCACAAAATCTAAAGCCAGTACTCTTTTGATTCTTTTAGGTAAGTAAGACGTTCGAAGACGCTCTGATCAAATTTATCCTTGTTTTAATTGAAAAAGTATCAACAATAATACATAACAGTCATAAACAGATGAGAAATCAGATTTCTAACTATTGAAAAAGTGAGAATAATTATTACAGTTTTGAAAAAAAACCAAAGAATAGACAATAACTATAGCTGATATGGGTTCGAGTAAGATAAATATGGCAATACAAGTCAAAAGTGACTAATTGACAATGACTAAATCATGAAGAATATGTTAATAGATTTATATATCATCACAAACGCTATTAACAAAATATCTATCAATGACAATAAATAGGGAGGCTACCTTGATCAGCAACTGTTGAAATAAGTGACTATATGTTCTTGGTCTCTTCAAAACTCTAGACTGTTTATCAATTTCTAATATAACAGTCAGAAATAACATTTCATATCAGTCAAAATAGGAATGGGAGCAGATTTCCCAGTGCATACTTGACAACTTAATGGATAATTTCAACTTTCAGTAAAAGAAACTAAAACAAACATGAGTACCTCAAACTATTCTGTTTGAAATGTAAAACAAAAAAATGATTATTCAACTACGTCGAAGAATTTCTGTCATAATTAATGTATTTGTGAAGTAATGAGCTGTAAACGGAGAGTTCTAATAGCTTGTCAATGGTCACATATGACTAATAATAATAAAACGAATCTTCGAATAAATTTCTTTTTAAAAAATGCATGATTGATCGAACTATTGTTGCAGGTTAGAAAATAAATATTCTGGAATTAGTTTCCTTCATTTAGTATTGCTTGTGAAAACTCTAATATAAATTTGGTATCTATTCAAGTTGAGTATCCTATATAAAGTTGATTTGTTGATTCTAATCTTCAGTTACTGTAATGTTATCGTGATAATAGAGAATATGAATGTTTTATGTCATCTATACTCTCTTAAAAGAGAGAGATGAAAACATAAAAAGAAGTGCAAATGATATAGAAATATATATACTCTTGACAAAGTTGACATAAACGGTGAACTTTATTAGCGCTCGTTATTTTCATTATTGTAAATCGAAATTGTTCTTATATAATTATGTATTTGAAAGATATATTCATTTACTTATTTCAATATAAATGTTTTAATAAGATTTTTGATCAAATCTTTTTTTCATTATTACTTAATGAAATCAATACTTATACATAGTTTTTCAAAGAAATTCAGCTTAGATATTCATAATATCTTCAAAGAAAAGATCTTCTATAAAAAAAAAAAACAAATTTCTGTGAATTTGTCAATTTGCAATAAATCTTTCACTATTGAAAATCAATAAACGAGAATGAAAGATAACAGTCATATACTACCAATGCATATATCAATTTTTGATCAAATATTTTCTTAGTTACACGTTTATACAGTAATCACTCTTCATATTCTAAATCAACTCTAAACCCGTTCTATAATACGTTTTTTTTTCTTCGTAATACAAAATATTTCGACGCATAAATATAATTCAATATGATGATGTAGAAATAATTATGCTGGTAGTTACTTAAGATTCAATGATTTTATTTCAGAACGAAAACGAATAGAAGAATATATGAAAGCAAAACGAATTGACATTAATCTTATGTATATTATCGTGTGTATAAATATATGCATAACACTGTCAATAAAGAGGTTTTTTGCACTTTTTCTAGAAAAAAAAAATAAACCATTCACAATGAATGGAACTGAAATGTGAAGAAGCAAAATTTGATTGATTATAAAACATTTGCGTCGCATTAAACCTAAAGCAGTAAGAAAGAACCAATAAGTAAATCGAAATAATACATCGTAAAGTTAAAGAAAAAATTGTATCACAATCATTTTATCTTAAATAACATACGAAAATATTCGAAATGTCCAGAATAAAAATATATCTGCTTCTATTAATCTTAACAGTCTCAGGTAAATATTGAGATTTTTATCAAAATTTTAACTTAAATTAGAAATTCCACGCTTTTTGGTTCCTTAAAGTTCTACTGTCAAAGAGCGCGAAAGTACTAGACAATTTGTTTTGGAATAGTCTTTAAACGGCTGAGGTATTTCGAAATATCTGTTATTACATTTAATGATAAAGTTATTATATGTTCTTTTGTTGGAAAAAACGAAGAATAGTATAGATAATCACTAAGAAAATAAATTCATATACGATTCTTACTTCATGAGAATTTGATGTATGATTCTTGTTTTTAAAAACTGAGTACCACATCTGAATTCTCATTCCGATGGAAAGAACTCAAAATTGATATTTTTACTTAATATGAATAAGTTTAGTTATTGATGGTCGATCTCTTCGAAAGCGACGACAAGCAACCGGCGGTAATACTTTAGGACAAAATCTGAATAACTTATATTCAAGTGGATATAGTATTATTCGGGATAATGTCGCTCCTGCAATCAGTTCTGTTGCCAATCAATTTTCTCAAAATCTGAATCGATATCAACAAGGTTTTTATCAAGGTATTAATCAATTGGGCCAAAATTATGATCAGTACAAACAAAACTTTTATCAAGGCGTTTCACAGATCGGTCCAACTTGGGATCAATACAAACAAAACTTATATCAAGGTGTTTCTCAAATCGGTCCAACTTGGGACCAATATAAACAAAATGCTAATCAAGCTTTCAACCAAATAGGTCAAGGATTCAATCGATTCGGACAAAGCTTAATTCCACAATATCCTTACAATAATAATAATAATAACATTGCTTATAATCGTATGTCGCTTCCTAAATGAATTGATTTCGTTTGTTTTTATTTTGCTTGTCTATATTATAGAAAACGGTTATTATCCTCAGCAATATCCGAATCCAATTAACTATAATTATAATGTTCCTCCAAATATGTACCGAAATTATGATGGAAGACCAGCGAATCCGTATGCAGGAAATAATTTTGTTCACTGGCGTGGAACACCGGGAGCAAATGCTCAATATTATTCAGGTAACATTGGTGGACAATCGTACCAAAATTTTGGTGGACAACAACGTTCAAACGAAGGCATTGCACCTAATTCAGGCATCTATGCCAATCAAATGTCAGGCCGACGACGTAGATAATCATATCGATCGATCTTCAATTGACAATAAACAATATGTGATTTACATAAATCATTTTTTTTAATGCCGAATATTTATTCATATTTGTTACTCTATTAACAGTTAATATCTTTGTAAAAAACCATTTCAGTTATATATATTAAAATACTCCAGAATTATTTGAGTATTATTAATTTATTTGATAACACTTTAAAAGATATGGATTACATACATATTAATTCTTATTCTCATCATATCGCAAAAGGATAAGGGGATGAGGACCTGAATGCTTATGAAAATATCTTCTTCAACCTTGTTTTACTATCATTCTCGTGTCACACGCAATATATATATAAATAGTTATTCATTCAAACCAATATAATCTTATTAGACATTTTTCAAATAAAATATGTTATAATAAATAACATATATTTGATATTATTCAAAATATTTATGAATGTTAATCAATTAGTGTTTCATCTTAAATATTACCAAAATCATATTATCTTATCACCAATCAGTAAATAAATAAATTATTATTAAAGACTAAAAAGTATATACAACGCAGTAAAGTTCTCGTTGAAGTCTATAGATGTAGATATGCGATGTGCTTTTGAACTTGCTTTATTAAAAAAATTCTTCTTATATTGAGGATAAGTCAGTCCACAGAACAAATATTGCCTTTCATCTATTATATGCCAATTGACATTGTTAGTAAGTTGTTGAATGGCGTGTCTTATTTTATTTTATTGAAAAATAATAATTTGAAAATAAAATTAATCATTTCCAACTATAACTGTGATGTTTCTACTATAGAAAAATTAGTTTCTATTCTTAATAATTGATATTTGCCTCTTTATCAAAAATAAAAACATTTACAACTCAAACCATTGTTTTATTCTTCTTATTTTACAATTTAAAATATGATTAAATGCATCTAGATGAATTTAACCGTGAGCTATGTTACAAGAAGTGTGTGAGTATGGGTACAAATGGGGACGTGGTTGTTAGTATGAGTTTTCTCCCAATAAAATATCTACACTTCCACAGACACCCTTTTAGTCGCCTGATGGTGATTGGCAAGTAGTCAGTTTAACTAGTTTGAGATATCTATTCATAATCGAATATATTTATGTACACAACATTAATGAACAAAGGGATAATAGTGACTGTGAGATCTTAATCCGACTTATACTTTTGTTTGTACGTACATAACCAAAGTATTGAATCATCTGTTTCAATTGATTCTGGATTGAAATTTGAAAAAACAATCACTTAAGATAGTTTTTGATATATTCGTTATTGTCGCTCTTTTAATTCAACTATTTTAATATAATAGATGATTATGATAGAGATAATGATTAAAATACTTGACAATAATCAAATATTGCCTTATAAAAGCAATGTTATAGTTATTAAATAACTAATAAATACTTTGGTAGTATAATAAATTATTTTTCGTCGAAATTTTGTTATCCAGTTTTCAACACTGTTTATGAATTAATGTTATGTAATAATCATGAATATTTCTCATTCGAATGAGAATATAGAAGACAAATAAGAATTTAAAAAGAGCGTAGATACCAAAAAAAAAAAAAACGAAAGATTGCATATTAGTTTTGACATCGAAAAAAGTCTAATTTTTTTTAAAAATTGTAGGCTGAAGTAGTAGTTTTTCTACTATATTGAATAAGTTAATTATTCTAAAGAAAAATTTTCTTCTCTTTTCTTTCTAATAAAATAAAAAGTCTATTGAATGTCTAAATATTAAATTATTTATTTATTTAATATATAAGTATTTGAAAAAACCAACAACAAGCAAATAATCAACCAATATAAAAACGAATAATATTTTAAATATAAAAAAAATTATTTTTAATAATTCTTTTGAGTTGATGCTAAATATTTTTGCATAATTAAATCCCATGATTTAATTGGTGGATATTTCTGTGGTTTATCTATTGAATAACATGTTGGTATACATGTAACTAATTCATTTGGATTAATTTGAGAAAAAAAAGCAATACTTTGACGAGATGGATATAAACCATCGATTGTTTTATTTGAAGGTAATATAACACGATGAGGTGTTGATACCCAATGATCATTTGTCCATCGTGACATTAAATCACCTAAATTAATAACAAAACTATTATCAATAAAAGGAACATCAATCCATTTATTATTTAAACGATTTTGTACTTGTAAACCTCCAATAGAATCTTGTTTTAATATTGTAAATGCACCATAATCAGTATGTACACTTGAACGATATTGATTTATTGGTAATGATGATGAATATGAAGGATAATATAATGAACGTAATGCTGAACGATGATCATTTATTTTATTATCAAACCAATATTGATCTAAATTTAATGCTAATGAAAATAATTTATATAAATATTGAGATAAATAATGACATTGTTTATAATAATTTAACCAAATTGACGGCATTAATAAAGGTTTAGTTGGCCAACGTATTTTTCCTTCATGTTCAGGTCCAATAGAAAAACTTTCTTTTAAATCAGGTAATATATTTTTATATGATGAAGATGATTTATCATATCCACGTGATAAATTTTCATCATTTAAACCATTATAACCATAAGGATAATATTTTGAACCAGTTATTTCTCGTTTTATTGATAATGGTAAAAGAAAAAATTCTTTTGATATATTCATCATATCATCTTGAAGTTTTTTATCAATTAAATGTCCAGTTATTATAAAAAAACCAATATTTTGACATATATCATCGAGTTTTTTAGCTAATTCTTTACGATATTTTTCATTTTCATAGGAATTAGTTAAATCTATAATTGGTATCGAGCAACTTTCTATTGAATATCGTGAATTCATATTAATATTCTTTAAGTAAAATGTATTATATAATATTCTTGACGACTTAATCATTTTTAGATATAAAATATCTTCCAAAAAATTAATTAGAAATAATGTTGAATTTATTTATTAAATTATATTATAAAGATGAGTATCGTTGTTGAATTTCGTATAGGCTTTGTTTTTTTTTCTTATTATCTTTGATATTTTTTTTCTTCATCTAATGAGAAGATATAGGTAAAAGGTCATTCTTATCTTTTTCTTTTTCTCATTTCATGTCATCATCCTTTACATAGATATAAGAAAAAAAAAGAATCTAAATGAATTTTTCATCGATATTTTAAGCATATTTCTACCTTTTTTTTTGATAAAGTCATACACTTGCTTTTATGCGTAATAGAGAGCCATGTATAAGTATTAATTTCGATCATCGATATTCTATGAACATAATTTGATTTTTGAAATTGAAGAACAGGAGTGAATCTATGTATGACTGCGAGATGGTTGCATAAGAGAATATTCATAGAAAAAAGAGGCGATCGCATACAGAAGAAGAATTAAAATAAATATTGTTCAAGTCATTTAGATCACAATGATTTATCCCTTTTCTAATCGCTGCTGTACTTAATTATTGTCATCTCTCTTACTTGATAGCACAACATACTTAGTAGGAGATAAGAGATATCAAATTTTGAATGACCATAAATAATTGAAACGATGCATTTGACCAACCAATGTTTTGTATTCCCAATTAGATAAAAATGGAAAGCGAAATAGAATTATTTTGTTCATTAGTTAGAATCTATACAATATTGATCTTGATTTGAAGCTTAGTCAACGGATTTATATTCTTAAATATGTCGATTATTCACTTTTCTTACCTATTACCTATCCAGTTTTTAAAAGTACTATTTGTCTTTAATTGATTCAGAAAGATTTTAAGTGAGAAAAAAAGCACTAAAGAAAGTTAACAATGAAAACTGAAAGAGTCATAACAGATTTTTTTTTCTCAACAGCAGTTTGACACTAACCAAAACATATGTTCAAATACATAAACCTTCGAACATTATAGAAATTTGTTTATTTCAGGAGTTAAAAGTCAATTTAATTCGATGATGTAGCTATTCTTTCATCTGAATATTTATGAATCTTGCTTTACCATTTGCTTAGCATTAGAACAAATGGGACAATTAGGATCTTGTTCATTCGGAAATCCAGTTGTGTAATAACTTCCATCAAACATTGATAAATTAATTTGTATCCAATTATGAAATGGTTTATTTATATCGAAAGTGGAATTTTTATTCTTCATTATATATTTAATCCATGTATTTACAATTAAACAGGATCCTGATAAACAAACACCAATCCAACTTCCAACTGTTCTCGTCGGAAATGATCGATCTTTGGGAATAAACTCAATTGATTGATAATTCTGTATAGATTGAGGTAATAATAATTGAAGTACTTTTTTTTGATAGAGAGGCATAAATAATGTTGAGAACTGTGATTGAGAAGGTAATACAATATTCAACTCATTTATACATTCTTCTATAATCGATTGAGATTTTTCACCTGATATTAAAGCGTTTTGTTTGAGAAATGATCGAATATCATTGAAATGTTCTAACTCTTGATTTGAAAACTTAAATGAATCATGAGTAAGGTTACTACATGACCAACATGAATCGTTTAATAAACCAGAATATAAACAAATATCAATGTTATTAGCATATGTCGAACCAGATACATAGATAATTCCCAATGATTTACATAATGAATTGACTGCATAATCAAATATAGCTCCATAATCAATATTATTAAATATAACTGTTGATTTCTTTGCTATTTCAACAACAGAAGACCAATTTTTCACAGCATCTGTATGATAATGATATATATTACTTCGTAAATTGTGTATCGATTTCAAATGTTGAGCTGCTGTTTCTACTTTCGATCGTCCAATATCATTTACACTAAATAAGATTTGTCGATTTAAATTTGATGCTTCAATATAATCACGATCAAGTAAATAAATATTATCAACACCCATTCTTACTAGAGACATAGCAATACTACTTCCAATACCACCAACTCCTAGTACAAAAACGCATTGGTTTTCAACTAATGATTGATGAAAATCTTTCATAACACGTTGTCGATCGAAAACATCACCAGGAATCTCTGGAGGAGGTTCTTGTCCTTCTGATACTACATAGTCCAAATCACATTTGTTAGTAGCATTTACTTCGAGTGCAGAATGCATCAGGATTTATTATTACAGAACGAAATGAAAACTGTCGAATCAAGAACAAGAAGAAAAACATATCTTATTTTTTTTTCTTACACATAACAACATGATGAAAATCTTTCGTGCTCGCAAAAAAAAAACAAAATAGTAAGTTACAGGTAATTTGTGGAATATTTTCATTCTTTCTTTGATTGATATTTTTCTTTTCACTAGAGACAATGTTTGCGCACATGATATTTGAATATTTTGCTTTCATCGAATACGAAATATGATTCATAAGTAACTCTAAATGAAGAACGATGTATTTTCGTTAACTGTTTACAGTATTTTTTTTTCTTGCTTAACGTTAAGAGATCAGAATAAAGTCAATAATTGATGTTAAGTCATTGTGATATTTGAGATGTAATATGATGCGATTCTTTGCACTATTGAGAAAGAAAATTTTGAAAATGGTCTAATCACAACACATATTATTACATTTTATTATTTGAATATTTCTTTTTAATGAATGAATCATAAATTCGATAAGTATGTCAATATAATAAGTTTTGATTATTGATCATGGAAAGAATGATTATTCTCAAAATCAGATGATGGTTTCGTTGCTCGTTGATCTTCCTCTCAAACATAATATTTGACATCTCGATATTTATTGGTCGATACTTGCAGTTGTTTGACTTCTCAATAAGGCAACAAACATAGTTTCAATTTTTTGTGCCAATCTCAATTATTTATGATTATAAAATTAAAAGATATCCAATTCAATACTATAGACAGTCTTTCTTATTGAAAAGATCATTAATTCAATAGTCATTTAACCCTTTGAGGACGGAATTTATTTTTAATCACCAAAACATTTTTCAACCTTTTTATTTTATTATAACTCAAAAAGGCTACATAAAAACCTTATAATAATCAAAAAAACAATTTTTTTACTCGATGTTGGATCGAAAATCTGCTTCTTTGATGCTACAATAAGCACATCTTCTTCTTTTTGCTGTCACAGGCAAATGCATTTCACTGTGAAAACTGCAGCAGTGTGCAGACTTCCGGAAAGGGAAATTTTGGAAGTTTTGAAAATTTCAAGTACTTGTCTTCTAAATTGTTTGGTACTTCCCAAAATTATATGATTTCCGAAATTTCCCAAATTCTATACGTAGCAAAAGTTCCGAAATTACAGAAAATTCTAAAATTTCTAAACTTTGCAATATTTCCAAAAAAATTTCGTTTACTTTGCTATGTAGTTATCGAGTTGATTGAAGCTTCGGAAATTTCTGTAATTCCCTTTTTCGGAAATCTGAACATATCTTGCAACAATAGCGATTGAATGGATTGATTGAATCTCACCATTAGTCGAACATATGTTGTTAAGAAAAATCACGTGCTTACACGAAGAAAAGTAAGATTATTCGGAGCTATGAACAAATAGTATTGAAGATGAACATAGATTCATGGATTCGTTGAACTCCATGCACTTGCCGAGTATCAGCTCGTGTTGTTGATAATGGATTATGCATGTCAACAGTAACAGAAATCCGACAGTCCAATCCTATCGACTCATAAATCCAATCTGAAGATTTTCGACTGTCAAATTTAACTACCCAAGTTCGGTATTAAGCACATTATTCGAATTTGAACAAATAATTACGACTTCATCGTTTGCTGAAAAGCAAGAATTGAGACTAGCAGATTGATTTGTATCGAAGGGATGTAGATTGATCTGTTTCTATTTCATTTACACCCTTCGGTGGCTGTTTGTTGAGAGTCTTCGATTTCTTCTCGAAAACTCTTATAGAACTACTTCGAGTTCGAATTTCGATCGATATGCAGTAAAATTTAGATACCGAACTTATCTGATGAGTCCCTTAAGCAAGGACGAAACCGGTCGTAAGTCTCTCGCTCGTGTATCTAAATCGAACATCTTGAGTTTCTATACACACCCACACCCACACCCAGACGAAATCGGTCATGGCAGCTCAGAGAGAGAAAATTCAGAATAGATAAGCCATCTGAATGAGTCCTTTAGTCCAGACGAAACCGGTCATGGCAGCTCAGAGTAGTTTCAACACTCATCTCTCCCCCATTCAAGTCTTTCTCTAAACTTGATGTTGAGCCATTTTTATTAATGGCATTCCTGGAGTATAGTTGTTGTCTATTTGGTACTAAACAAGACCTCATGATCGGATGTTCTACAAACGAGAAAATCCAATTGGGCTCTTTATATGAGCGGCTTTGACCTGTATTTTTTTTCATCTTTCTCTGTTAAAAACCGTAAGTTTCTTTCAAATCGATCTGTGACTCCATGAGCCGACTTGTCATAGCCCAGCCCAGCCCAACGGTTTCTCTTTCAAACAAATTCGGCCCATGGGCTGGGCTTAACCCAGCCCATTCGGAGCCCTACTGTGATATGACTGAGCTGTAGTAATTTCATTGAAAGTCATGTGGTACCAAAAACTGACCCAATTGCTAATCTTTGTCTGAGAAGTTTTTCTCAGTTCGACGAAGAGAATAAACATTGTAATCGTGTTCAGCATAATCGAAAAGCTATGTTTTCGTGCGAGTCCGAGCTCGGTCAAGTCGAAAAGCATGCTTTCTCTGGGGCCCTGGCGCGTGAGGTCTGGTGCCCAAACAGATGAATGAGAAAACCTGCGACATTTGCTGATGTGTAGGGAAGCTCCTAGGCTATCAAAAGGGTAAATATGGATCGAAAATCGACCAAAGCTTTCTTGATCAGCTAGATGGTTTTTCAGAAATGCTTCTAGCAAATCTTGAGGAATACGATGAAAATTTTTCTTTGTCTTGAAAACATACGTGCCATGATCTCCTCTTTCGAAGAGAGAAAACCGCAGTTCGCTAGCTGGTTGCGTTCCGGAGTTATTGTCATTTTTTTTCACCCATCTTCATTTTTGAAGTGGACAGTAGTAACGAAACACATTACGTGTAACGAAACGGTAAAGCGTCACGCCCAATCTCGGCCAAAAAAGTCGATAATTCGAAAAAAATTGAGGTTGTATGTAACTCGACGTGCTCTACAACATATTAAAATTAGGGGTAGGGGACGTCTTCCTTTAATGGACCTCTACTTCTGATCAAAGATAGAGTTAAAGCAACTCAAACGTCCAGTGCTAGTTCTTTGTAATAGGAAAGGATCGTTTTTTTGAAGTGTCCTCATGAAGAAAACTATGGCTATCCATTTATTTATTTACACAGGTCGGCAAACACGACGTCGTATACTGTCGTGTACATGCCGCCAGAATTACGACTGTATGTCGTCGTATACCACACAAATATTGCTTGTATACTGTCGTAAACGAAGAGAATATGACAAATTAGGACAAACGATACAGCCAAAATACACTCGTCGTATTCTTGTCGTTTACAACAGTATACGAGCTGTATTTCTGTCGTATACGACGACATACGATCGTAATTCTGACGGTCGTATACGATGTCGTATTTTCGACCTAGGATATTGACATTGATTTGTAGGAAAAAGCAATCTTTTTTTGATTCTGTTCCAATGCAAAAAAAAATAGAAGCCATATCTTATATGAAAATGGATCATAAAGCTTCTGAATGATTGGGATCAACAACGATTGGCTTTGCGTGAAATGCAGCATTGAACTCATTGTTCAACTGGACAGCAATACAGTGAAAAATCAAAGGACATCCATATGATCACTGTTCGGAGATTCGAAAAGAAACTATTGTGTATTACCTAGAATGTCGACGAGAAGAAATGAATGTGCATCGATGTGTCTCTTCAAAGGCGACATTTCACTCTAAAAACAATCGGATTTTTACCGAACTCCCAAAAAAAGGTTCCGAAGATTTCTAAAAGCGTCTAAAGGTGTCAAAAGTCTCAAAAAAAGGATAAAAAAATCTACGAAACCTTTAAAGGT